ACTTGGTACAGTGAGGTATTTTGACATTAAAAAAGAGACTAGAACAACATGTTACCCATTACATTGGTTTTCAAAACAGGCATAGCAGAAAATTATTGTCATTGACCTGAATGGTTTCTAATAGGATTCTGTTGTTTTTGCCTCTGGGCCTTCTGTTTAATACTTATGTTAAAATAGTAATTTCTGAGGGTTGGCAGGAGCTATCAATATTGGAGATGGGCAAATAAGGGATAAATCTGTATTCCATAGTAAGTTGTATACAAGCAAGCTGTGTACTTTATTATGGGAAAATGTAAAGCTGTTTTTCTAGGAATGGTGCAGGATTCTATTCTGAGAAGCAGCGAAATATCTAGAAAATATTTAGGAGTTAAGTCGCATTATCGTGAGCTTTCTATATGATTCAGCAGCCAAATTACCCTTGACTGTATAAATAGTGGAAAATTGGACAGGAATAGGCAAATCATATTCCATCTGGATATAGTACTGGTGTGTCTGCAAAGTTCTGTGGCTGTTTTTGGTATCAAAGACAACGAGAGAAATGCTTAAAACTGGAGATAGTGCTAAGAAAAGGTATGAAAATGATGTAAGCATTAGAATATATGCACTTAATGAATAATATACAAAACTCCTTGAATCTAGTCTGACACCCTGATACCTGCTAGAAGGGCAACATGGTGGAACACAACTAATTGGAGATTTCTGGAGTACATTATGATGATATTTTGAAATAGGTGGCTCATCCAGTGCCTAGGAGAGGTGCTTTCCTGGATCTGCTACTAGCAAAGAGCTGGTTGAGGGAGGGATGTGGTCTTGGCTGCAATGACTCTGAGATGTTAGAGCTTAAGATCCCAAGGGATGTGAGTAGCAGAATCAAGACATCAGAATTCAGGATAACAGACTCAAAACTTTCCAGGGAACCAAAAAGCAGGATCCCATGGGAGAATGCTCTGAAGGGTGAATAAGCCCAGGTAAGCTTAGCTGATCTTCCAGGACAACCTCTTCAAATTGCAGAGACAGGGCATGCTGATGTGCAGGAAACCAAGCAGGCACAACAGGTCACCAGCTTTGCTTCACTGTTTATTGGGGAAGTCCTGATGGAGCTCAAACATGAAAAAAGGACTGTGTGCAGAAGGTGAAAAGAGGTATGGGATACCCAGGAGGGATACAGGCAGGCAGAGGGCACGTTAGGAAAGTTCAGCTGGAGCTGAAACTCCAGGGGATTACAGAGCAACAAGAAGGACTTCCATAGGTACGTTGTCAGCAAATGAGACAAAAGAAAATGTGGATCTGCTGCTGGATGAAGCAGGCAACTCTGTGATGGAAGGACACAGGAAAAGACTGAGGTTTGCAGTGTTTCTTTGCCTTGGTCTTTATGTGCAAGATCCACTATTGCTAGGTGATCATTTGGGGTGAGAGGTAGCACCCATGGTAGAGGATTGCATTGGGCACCACTGGCAAATTGGAGGCATGCAAGTCTCTGTGGAAGAGGATGGGTGAGGCAGCTCCATCTCACATTAGAGCGGTCGTGACAACCAAGAGGTCCCAAGTGACTGGAAATGTCGTGTCTGTCTTCAAGAGGGTGAGAAGGAGACCTACAGGCTGATAAGCCTCGCCTTGGTCCCTGAGAACATTGTGGAGCATGTCTTTGTGGAAGCTGCTTCCATGGTCAGGAAGGTGGCCAGGGGGATTCGGCACGGATTTGCAAGGGCAAAAATGTGCCTACCCAACCTGCTAGAAATGCAGGAAACCATGTTTCCAGTGGGCAGTTATGATGAAACCTGGGTACTGAAAGTAGATGTAGGAGAAGCAAAGTCAGTCTTGAAATAGATGATCTACTATAAGTTGTTACGTAAGTCACTGATTAATAATGGTAATAAAAAAAAATAATCTATGACTTGATCTGCAAATAGGGAACAGATTTCAAAGATGTTACTACTTTAAAAATTAAAAAAAAAAAAAAAATCCAAGAGCTTTCTCCACTTAAAGTGTTACTCTTCAGCATACATCAGTTTGTCTTTTTTTCTGCTGGCCGGTAAATATCTGTCTCAGGTCCTGACTGTGCTTTAAAATAAGATATCTTGCCAATTTGATTTTAAAAAAAAAAAAAAAAAAAATCAGTGTCTGTCTTGATGCAAATCCAGTGTTTAGGAGAGAACCTTTTATGTAGTATTTCCTGCCCTTTTCAGGTCTCCAAGCTCTCTCTTACAGCTCGCCATTGACTCGGTCAGCGAAGGAGGTGCTGGACATGCACAGGAAAATGTTGAAACTAAATGTTAAACACTGACAGATTTTTTTTTTTAATAAATTTTTAACTTAGTTTTATTATGCAGCTTTTTGCTGCATAATAATAATTGGTACAGCTTTTATGGGTACTTTTTGATAACTCCTTCCATAAAATGACAGTTATTTAGATCTAGTAAGGCTTTTAATTCATGTCTGCTTCTGATACTCTGCGTTTGGCTTATTAACTTGTAACCTTACAATTTGTACCTGTCCTTAGATTTAGTATTAGGTTTCAAATGAGATAAACTTGCTTATTTTGCAAATAGGAAAAATGTTAAATATCCAAATGGTGTTTAAAGTTCGAAAGTTGAGAAAAAACAGAAGATTAGTCAAATTTCTTTATTCAGGAACCAATGGGAGATGTGTTGCCAGAATCGTCTTCCATGGAAGGTTGACTATCACACACTTCTTTCTCTTTTTCCCATTAGTTGAAAGGAATCTCTAGTCTTTATTAAATATGGACCACTTTGATTCAAGCTTTTATTTTACGTTGAGAAAGTAGAGTATGAGACTGCACTCTGTTTGCTCCCCACAAGTCTTTGGGACTGCTGGGGAGAGCTGGAGGACTTGTGGCTTGGGTTGAAAATATCTGTTTCTTAGAGAAGATGGTGATTTGATGAGGTTTGTGACTTTCCTTGAAAATGCCATCTTTGTTACTTTATTTGTTTTAGGTTTTCTGGTTATCATTAAGACACACTTCTCTTTTCAGCATAGAGTTGGGCAAGACAATTTTACTAGCCATTACACCATACTGAAATCCTGTAGGTGCCCTTAGCAGATGTTATAGTTTAGGGTCTATTGGTGTTCATAATATTCAGCATTTTATATCTTGGCCATAAATTTGCTTGGGGGGGTGGGGATACAGTTATTTTTGTCTCCTTTCAGTATTTCTAGCCTGATTGCAGGTGCTTAATATGAGCATGTACCTTCTGGCATGACGAGTGAATTATCTGGTGACTTCCCCCCCTCCTTCCCCTTAGCTAAAATTTCTCTTTTAATTCTTGCAAATCACATCTTCAAAAGTGGGTGTTATTCAGTCTGATGTTAATGAATCACACGTTCACAATGTTTTCCCTGACGTGATAAACAATTGTTCTGTTAGTCTGTCAGATTAGTGAGCCGCAAACTCTGAAATGTTTTACATGGGTTTTGGTGGTGGTGGGGAGGTTGTAAGATGCTTATTTTGACAGCCATTGCAGTCTATCCCCCAAATATCTTGGTCTTTATGTATCTTAGGCTTTAACAGTTTGAAGGGAGTTAATATTTTTGCTTGTGAGTCTGAACCTGCTTGGGGTTTTTGCTGGGTTTTTTTGGTGGGGAGGGGGCTGGGGGATGTGTGTGTGTGTGTGGTTTTTGGTCAAACTGGACCTCCATCATGCTCTGAGGCAGGCTCTGGAGTTCTACTTTGATTCAGAAGTTTCCAGCTATCCAGAGCTGGAAATCAGATGATGAATCTTCATAGAACACCTAATAAATAGCTGAAGTTAGTCATCCTTGTGATTTTGGTGTGCAGTATTCTTTCAGGTATCAGCATAACATCTTTCTCTTACTCAAGGTGTCCTCTTTTCAGCAACATTTAATATTAATACTGAGACCTTCATCATTTGGGACCATTAAAGAGACCGATATTCTTCTCAAACAGTGGCTGTTAATCCTGCCCACACCCTGGTTGGGGAATTATCCAGATTATCTCTGCAGTTTCAAATGGTTTCAAAAGAAGTTTCCTTCTTCCTGCTGTAAATCTTTTCTCTTGTGCTGCAGTCCTCTGTTACACAACCACCATATTCTGCAGGAAAGACGGTCAAGTGAAGTGATTCCTTTATGGAAAGGAATATTATCCTTGCTGGTAGTGTTGGAGATTATGTTGATTAATGGTTTCCTTTTGTGAACTTTGGTTCAAGGCTGCTTTGGATTCCTTTTTTTCTTTTGTTTTACTCTCTCGTAGGTCAGTATCTTACCATTTGTCATCAGTAGTGGATTTTTCTGCTAGCTGGAATAATTAGCCTTTGTTAGACATGCAGTGATAAATGGGAGAGGAGGGGGGGAAAGGGTAACAATGAATTTCAGTTCAGCATTAGACTTCAATGAAGTTGCGAGCATGCTGCTTGCTCACAAAGGGAAGTGATTTGTGGAATTTTTCATGGACAGTCTTGTATGTTTTCTTGTGAGAATGAAGCTGGATCTTGTTGCAATCCCTGCAATTTATCTGTATGCCGTGGGAAGCAAATGAAAATATACTGACTGTACCAAACTTTCCCTGATGTGAGGTCCTGTGTTATCATCAGTGTCTGAATGGGAGCAAGTGCTCAGACTGCCTTTGGTTTGTCCCCCAAACTAAACAAGATTCTCATTGCCTACTCTGACTTTCCCTTTTGCCCAGGCTTCGTTTCCAGACAATGAGTACTGAAGGCTTAGTTTGGTCTAGGAGCATCTTCCTAACAAGTACGGTTTAAAAAAGCCCCACGAAGCTGCCACAGCCCAGTTCTTTTTCATACAAAGCAAACCGCAGACTTTCATTAGTGTGCATATTTGTGTATTGTTTCATCTGTGCATTGCCATAAGGTTGAGGGCACCCTGGCTGCTGGGATATTTGAGGGTTTTAACCTGGATTTTGATTCTGGTAGGGACACAGAAACTGTCACCTGGAAGGTGTTGGAAACTCTTCTGATGTTACCCTGTGACGCCTTCACAGTTTTAATAGGGGACTTTTTTTGCAGGTATTCAGAACGAAGCCTGACAAAATGCGTTGGGATAACAATAGAGACCAGACCAGATTACTGCCTGAAGCGGCATTTAAGTGACATGTTATCCTACGGCTGTACGAGGCTGGAGATCGGAGTGCAGAGCGTGTATGAGGATGTGGCCAGGGACACCAACAGGTGAGAAGAAAGCTTCAGTGCGAAGCTGAGCGTGGCCGCTCACTGTATGCTTTCTGGAATACTCTTGAGTAGTGTGTCTTGACCTGTTTGCTTGAACACCCATTTAACATTGAACGTTGAAACTTTTAGCTCATTTCCTTGCTTGTGTGCCCATACATCTGTTAAGAAGAACTAATAAACTGCAGTGGCTTCATGGATTTTTTTTTTTTGTGATATTGTGTAGACCATGTCTTGAGAAGATGGAGTTATTTGTGATGTTTTATTTTAAACTCATATTCTATTCCTGTATCGTACACCTCTTTTTTTTTTAATTTTTATTTTTTTTATTGCTTTATAAATAAATTCAGTTTTGTGAAGTGAAACTTGTGCCCAGGGAGAGCTCATAGTTTTTATCCTATGTAATTCATAATCTATAGCCTTGAGTAGATACAGTGCATTATAATCTATTGGAGGTACTTTACCAGCAAACAGCATGTTCTCTACCCCGGATATCTTTTTCTGCTGAGTATTGGAGAGGAGAGATGACACTGGCAAGTACAGAGGGTGAGACATAGCCAGAAACAACGCCTGTTGATAGATTAACCACAGTCATCCTAGGCATACAGTATCTCTAGGGATTGCAAAATATATTTGCAAGAGGCCTGTGACTTATTCCTTGTCATCTTGGACCTGTGGCCAAAAGAACAGTTGTCCTACGTAGGAGAGTGTGCAATATATCATTCATCCCACCTCTTTACAGGCAAGTAAGCCAATCTTTTTTCTTTTTTTTTTTATTGCAAGTCTGATAATTCTGTTGAGATTTTGAAAGAAGTGATTTTTCTCTTGTTTTTTCACTTCTGACACTCATTCAACTCGCTTTCATTCTTATTGCATATTCCAGTCACCTACCAAAGATGTTTAATAACCATAATCATAGGTAATGACAGAGAGATTATGGTTCAATAAAAGCACATTTTTGTTAATACCTACCTTAAAGGCAGTAGTGCAAAACTGAAAAAGTTGGACATTTTCTTTTAGAGACTTAAAGAAAGAATCCAAAATGAGTTTCCCCCTGTGGGTTTAGCTATAGTATTGCTGGTGCATGGTGCAGGATGTCACTGCTATGAAATGGTCATGCTCCAGGTCTCAGTAGACGGGAAAAGCCAGTTATTAAGTAGTCCAAGAGTTAAGAGCTAATATTTATTGGTGGTACTTTCCTCCTCTAGATGTCAGAGCTTTCCAAATGAAAAGATCCATACTAAGGAATGTAGCTAGATCTCGCTCTTAGGCTAGACGTATTCATTTACAGTTAATTCTGACACAGATTGTAAATTTAACAATTGATTTCTCTTCAGCTTTTAAAACCTTTTTTTCACCTCAAATCTTTTAAAGGTGTCCTATCCTGAGGTGGAACTTTAAAACCTCACTTAGCTATCACTTCAGTCATCTTCAGTTTTCCTCCAGTTTTGTCTGTCACATCAGAGCTGGTACCATAAATCGTTCAAAGCTGTACATCACTTCTGGCTTGTACATTTGCTAATGAACCCTTGCTTTCCTGCTGATGAATCAGAAGAAGAATGAAGTAGTATATTACTGACTTGATTTCACTCAGAAGTAATCCTGTATAGAATTATATTTTTAAAGGCACTTTTCAAAGCTGCTTGCAGAATTCCTAAAAGGCTTTGCTGCAGGCTGTCTCAGAGCAGGGAGAATGCAGGCTGTTCACTCAGATATCTGCCTCCAACTTTTTAGAACAATGAATTGGAATATACTTTTAGAGAAGGGTGATTCAAGTTTCTCTTTCTTTTGAAATGACCTCATTTTGCTTCTGTTCTTCTGTTTTGTGGGGGATGTGTTTTGGCTTTAAACTTTTAATATTTTGCTTGTAGCAAAATGTCAGATTACAACCAATTAGGCTAACTGTTTGGAAATTACTTTCTATTATGTTCCATAAGTCATTAGTGAGGTTTTTGAGTGCTTTTGGTGGCTGTGAGGCAGAAAAATATTCAAGAACAGATCTAGGCATCAAATAATCAAGTTATTGATGCAGCTCAAATTCTACTTCTAATAAGAAAATAATTTTTATTTATGAAGCAAGTCTCCATTTACTCCCCTCAGGCTACTCAAGGTCTTGAGTAATGCTGTCCTTGAACAATCTCAGAAAAACACCGTAATACTTCTATAAAAAAATCATAAATAAAACTAGAGTCTTAAAACTACATGTAGGGATTTAACGGAGGCAGAATCTTCCAGTAGGGAGGAAGGAAGAGGTCCTTAAACCAAGGGAAAGAGCTGTTTGGTTTGGTTAACATTAGGTTTTGGCAGAAGGCATGCCCGATGGTGTTAATTTTTCATCCAAAGGACTATGGAGGAGAAGAGTCACTGCTGAGCTAATCTCTTGGCAAGGAATTCCAAAAGATGGGGTGCACTGGTATGAAAGTGTGACGGGAAGAAAATGGGGATTGGAGAGGGAAGAAGGTGGCAGATGCTGAGGGAAAGAAATGTCCAGAAATGTCGGCTAGTAGTGGAAGAGCCTTCCCAGCTGGGGAAGAGCAAAAGCAAGGACTTTGTGGGAAGACTGCTCACATGTGATGGGCACCTCCTCGTAGCTGGTTGTAGTGAGCGATTGCTGTTGTGGAGGCAGAAGGTGGCTCCTGAGCCATGGAGGTGGGAGGAGAGTGGGGTTTGCTTGAGGCTAATGAGTTACTGAGATTCAGTCTTTGTTCTTGCCATCGTTTGGGCTCCCACTCACCCCGATCTCCTGCAGAGCAAGCCTGAGTTACTTCGGTTTGATGTCAGTGGAGAAGAACATGAAATCCTTCAAGGGTCCTAATCCAGGCTATGTTTTGGAGCTTTGGCACCTCTCGGAAGTCGACAAGTTTATGTTTCTCTAAATGGAGTACTTGAGAGTTTGGCAAGCATGTTGCAGAATGATTTTCTAGCTAGCTGTTTTTACTTAGCCCCCATCCTTCTCCTTTTGCTCTTCTGTTGCTTTTGTTTCTGGTTATGCTTCGTTCTGATTATACAGAGTCTTCAGTGCAGTGTGTCCTAGCTTGTGTTGTGGCATCAACTTGTGTCATTGCTTTACAAATCGGATTTCAGCAGCTTTCCAAAGTTTCTCGGGCTGTGATTTGACTAGCCGTAGCCTTGGTGGGGTTCACCTCCTATAGAAATGGCAAACTGCATTACTTTTAGCCCCTAGTATAAACTATACTTTATTAGCAGTCATGTTCCAAACTCAACCCTTCTTGCTTCCTAGAGAATGTCAATTAAATGTATCAAAATGTGTCTTTTTCTGTATGATCCTGAATCTCTTTCCTCTCTTCCCAGAGGTCACACTGTGAAGGCTGTGTGCGAGTCTTTTCACTTAGCCAAGGATGCCGGGTTTAAAGTAGTGGCGCACATGATGCCTGATCTACCAAACATGGGGCTTGAAAGAGACATGGACCAGTTTGTTGTGAGTATGCCTTAAAATAACCGGGAGCTTCTAGGGTATTCCAGCTTTTTCATCTCATGCTGCTTCTCTTTCTTAGCTCAGCTATTAGTTATGATCCAGGCCAGAATTGTTTCTTAAGGACAAATAATTTAAAATTCATTTTTTGAAGGTGGAGGGTGAGAAAGATTTGTTGAACTACTTCATCCAGAAAATTATATCCTTGCCTCATGAAAGACTGAGTCACTCGGGTCTCTGTGGAATATAGCTCTTCCAATATTAACTAGGGCTCTTACTTTTTTCCAAGGTGGTTTTCTTTCCGTGGATTTAGAATAGTACATGATTCAAAGTTAAAAGCATACTATCTCGAAGGTAATTAATTGCAAAGTAGAGTATATAGGTGTATTATATAGCACCTCTGTTCTTGGCTCAGTGCTATTCAATATCTTTATCAATGATGTGGAAGAAAATATAAAATTATTTCTACATAAATGGAAATGAGGAATAAAGAGCAAATGGTAAACAGTGTAGGGAATTAACCACGTTACCTGGTAGCATGGTAGATTTTTTTTCATTATTACATTTTTTTCTTTTTAAGTCAAAATTGGTCATCTTTTTAAAATAGTTCAGAAATTGCATTCATGACACAGGAGTCCCAGGTATATTTTTGTGTAAGGTCAGACTAGGTGCTTTCTGGACTAAAAAGCTATTAATGCAATGGAATATATTGATTGATTAGAAGTCCAGGCAGAAAGCAAAGGGTTATCTTGCTCTGCTGTAAACAGGCACGTCTAGAAAGAACCAATTGAAAATGCAGTTGTACAGTACATGAAGGAAATTCCGAAACCTGCGATAGGTACATTTTCTAAGGGGTTTTGTGCAGAATTCCTTGAACTCTTAATAAACATAATGTCATGGTACACAGCAAATACTATGTTCATGTGACAAAGTGAGAGACTGGGTAAAAGTCTCAAAACTGGAGGTGAAGTCAGTGAGAGAGCTGAAAGTTAACTCAAAATTCCTGCCCCAGACTCTGTTGCTCCTGGATTGTTTTCTTATAATGCTGAAGGAGGTGGAGGGTGGACATCACGTTAGCTGTGTTTTCATAGAATTAGTTGTGATGCAGGGTACAGCAGAACCCGAGTCCCTTACTCAATATCTCATGAAGTCACAGCTGTAGTTCTGCGTTCTCTGTGGGCCTGTCATTAGTGAAGTACTATTAGGCTGGAGAGAATTTGTGGTGGAAGAGTAGTGATACTGACAAAAAGATTTAAAGAGCTAACCTTGGGTAAGACCCAGCAAAGACGAGACAGTAATCTAAGGTATTTGCAAGATGTAAAACTGAAGAGGGAGGAATTATTTAATGCAGAATTACGAGCTTCTATAGAAAGTATTTACTGATTATTGCTCTTTGCTGCTTATTCATGATAAATGGCTAAGGCTTTTCCACTGTCGGATCTGGAGTTGCTCCTGTTTCATTGCAGGAGATTTGGGGACTCACTTTAAAAGGTATAACTTCAAGTGACGCTGAACTGCCTCCAGTTTCTGCAGGTCAGCAGGCTCCCCTGCTTGTCAGGGGAAGGGTTGTGCCGTGCTGTATTTTGTCAATTTATTTATGACAATTTGTGCAGAAATAGAAGAGGCAGAAGGCAAAGGTTTCAGAAAGAGGAGACAACAATGTGAAAAGGCTGGAATTGTGAAAGGGGGGACTAAAAGAAAGCTGGGAAAATAGTTGAGGATAGAAAAGCAAGAGAAGGAGAAAACAGAGCAGAGAAGGTCAACTGGTTTAGACTATTTCTGCCAGAGAAGTCTCTTGGCTTTAGGAGCTGGGAAAACCAATGTTGATGGTGGGCCAGCCTTGGGACACAGCAGGAAGGAATTTGCATGTTGTGATGGGGAAGAATGGGAAAAGTGAGAGCAGATGTTAATGAGGTCCAAAGAGAATTAAGAAATTTTTCAATTTAGAAAAGGAAGGGTTAAGATAAGATCAGATTTTTTTTTTGCTGAAGGGCTGGAATTGGCAAAAAGGCTGGTTGGAGGGCCAGGAAAGAGATATGCTAACCAGGGGAATAAGAAAACCAGATGATAGGTTAAGAAGGGGAATTCAAGAATACAGAGAGCTTGATGGGGTGAAGACCAACTCAAGTGACAGCCCTGTTAATGAGTTCAGAAATGAAGCAGGACTCACAGATCAAATTAAGATTTGATGCCAGTGAACATACTGATGAGGAGTTGGAGAATGAGTAATCAGTGTGGAGGATGAAGCCCTCAAGAAGTAATGTGAATGCTGCAGAGTGAGGAAGAAAAATGGGAGTTGGGGAGGCAGGCTGGTGGGGAAGAGGTGATAGATCACATCAACATGGAGAAGAATTATACGTGTCTTGTTTTAGAGAAGAAAGTATGGGAAAGGAGAGAAGAAGGAATCAAAAATGCCTGTGTTAGAGAGGTGCATAGGGTCCCCACCATGATCTGAGACCAGACAGCACACGAAAAAAGACCTGTGTGAAAGAGGCAGCTGCAGAGTTGATGCCCGGCTAAGTGATCGCTGTGCATTTCAGAAAATGGAGCTGCAGGGAATGAGAGTGGAGAGGTTGTGGATCACTGTGACATGTTTCAAGATGGAATGGTAAACAAGAGACCACTATCCTCTTCCTTTTCCCTTCTCCTCTACCTTTCTCATACTATCTTAAATGCTTTATAATTTATTTTTAAAAGATCCTTTTTCTTAAATAGGAGAGAATAGAGGGTAAAAACAACCATTCTTCCTGCGCGCCCCCCCTCCCCTTCCCCAGAGCCTTGTACTACTGAACATAATAGAAGTATTCAGCAGACAGTAATTCCTTCTTTTTCAGGGATTCAGCTAGATAGTACATTCTCTGTTTCCTACCTAACATTTTATATCATGGTTTTGAGTTATTAAAACAGCTAATTTCTATGTTGTGCTGTATAGATGTTAGTCCATGCTGGTAAATATTTAGACACTTCTATGACAAAAAATAATGTGAGAGTGAAGAGAGGAACCAAGTGGAGAGCATCTGTTGTGTTCTTGCAACAGTACTAAGCTGTTCATGAGCAGCAGTAGTGCTCTTTTATACAGTATTCTCCTAAAATGTATACTCTTCTTAGAAGATACCTATGACTTTTTGGGACAGATACCTGTGGCTTATCAAGGATCCTTATAGATTTTTTTTTATTTTGTGGTAGTTCTAGATAAGTTTGGAAAAAAACAACTTGATTTGTTGTGATGCTAACCTCCTTTCTAGCCATGTGCTTTTCAGACCAGGGAAAGGCAGGACAAAAAGGAGCTGAGTTGACTTTAGAAGGAGTTCTAAGCACCTTGCCTTCATTACCAGTTGATATATTAAATACAGGGGCTTCTCCTGGGAAGGTAATAACTTGCTGATTGTGCTGACTGTGTACTAAAAATACTGGGTGCTTCTTCAAATTGAACAGATAATTATGGTTTCAAGAGTAACATTGCTTCTGTCCCTTATGACCTATTGATTTGGAAGTGTTTCCTGCTTCTTCTGTCCAGCAGCTAGGATGCCCATCAGTTACTCTTTTGCAACCCTATCTAGGTTTTCAAAGCTGTGTTTAACAACTGTTTTCCTGGGGAGTTTATTAATAAGTATGCAAATCTTTAATTTACTGATAGGATTGAGTATGTTAGATCTTTTGTTACATGTATATATTCTTTTTTACAGTAAGTGGCAGGCGACTGGCTTTTTGCCTGCCTTCATCATGAAGATTATTAGTTACTTTTTTTAAACAGAGTGGATGTACGAGTCCTGTGTCCCAGTTATGTTGTGCTTCTCCTCTCCTTCCCCCATCATGCCTCTTTTCTTCCCTTATTATTGATTCTTTTTATAGCCTCAGAGGATTTCCTTTCTACTTCAGGTCTTTCCACCCCATTCCACATATGGGAAAACGCTGCAGGGAGGGAGTATGCTCTGCTTCCTCCCACCACCCATGCGGTTGTGCCAGTAGTGTCAGGTAGTTTATATGTACACACACGCACACACACACACTGCTACTTCTCGTTGGCAAATGCAAGCATAACAGATAAGACTGATTCACAGTGCCTCACGTAGCAGGTGGTCGGAGAAAATAATTAGAATAATAGCTAGAATAAATCAAGGACTCAGCGGGAATAATGGAATTGTTACCAGAGCAGACACCTCATTCTGCGGAACGCGATAAACACTCAGCTTTGCTGTTGTAGCACGAGAGAGATGAGGTGACTCTAGGGGTAAATGGTTGGGAGGATTCATGAATCACACTTGCCAACAGGGCTACCAAGCAGAACTTGGGATTTAAGCAAAAACTTTAGGAGGCTAAAGAATTCCCAGGATGCTGTTACTAATTCCTCATTCTGTTTCTGCAGAGCCACTGAGTGGCAATAGTATAATCAACAAACTTTATCTACTCTAGAATAAATATTATTAAGCTAGTAACATATTCATTAATGGAGATGATATTGCTATGTTTGCCTTTATTTTATTTTTATGGTCTTTGCCTAAGCATGATTTACTGTTGCTGTTCTTCTTGGCCCTCTGGGAGGGATGGCTGTAAGCCCATCTCAAACAACTTTAAAGACCCCTCATAGATGAAATAAATCTGGGGAGCAGAAAAAAAGAAAGGAAACAGGCAGGAGAGTGAGAAGATTAGAAATTTCAAGTGTGGGAAGTGTCATAGCAAGTTGCTGGCAGAACCCTCCAGCTCTGAAGGCACATGGGAGTTGGTGGATGCTGCCCAGAAACATCAGATAGGCCTGCAGTTGCTGAGAAGCTCTTTTTCCTTGAGGAGATCCATGAGGAGGTCCTGTGGCTTCACTCTGTCCATCTAGAGTCTTGTATTAATGAAATGATGAGGGTAAAAGCATAGGCAGGGCCATTTACTGGTCCTTACAGGAGACAAGTATCAGACTGAAGAGATTTTTGGTTCAATTCAGCAGAGCCAATCTTGCGTTCTTTAAATAAAATGCAATCATTGAATGATTTTAGTCTGGCAAAAGTTCCTTTTCT